GGATTGTTCGAAGAAAAAGAGATGTTAGAAAACATCAGTCCAATCCTTTCATTTTACTGAGGAAGAAACTGAGGCCCAGAAACATGAACCAACTTGCCCAAAGTCATAGAACTAGGACAGAGCAGATCTGGTGCAGAAATAGTGGTTTCTTAACTCCTAGTTCACTGAGGACAAAAATGACCATTTGAAGGTGACTTTAGACCACAAAGCCCACATCTTCTGCATTCAGAAAAATAGCTGATTTTTTCCCTTTAGTTGTATTTATATATCCCTAGTTAATTGATATATGTGGGCACTCTACTGGCTAGCCATTTGCAACAAATCAGAAGGAACCAGGCATGGGTTTTTCTGAATATGAGGGAGATTCCATTCTAAGGAAATGTAACAGCAAAAATACTGAGCCATATGATTCTTTAATTTTTTTTATTAGCAACATCATTAACAAAACAAACATTTCTTTATCCAAAATCCATAAAAAGAATCCTAAATTATAAAAAAGAGAATATAAGAAAATCAGTTACATATGATCATACTGCATATATATTTAGCATTATGCTACCAAAAATTGCCCTTCTTGTCTGTTTCCCTGTCAGAACTGCCTTCTGCTCTCTTCTGTGCATTTAAAAATATTTAATGTTCTTTTCTTTTTTTATCATGACAACTACCCCCCCACTCTGCTCAAGCCATCACTCCTCTCCCCATAAAAATCTTTCCTCATAACTATTAAGTCAAGAAAAACACATCTGTGTCGTATCTGTATTATCTGAAAATGTTTCTTATTTTGAACCTGTAGTCCATTACCTGTCCACTAAGAGATGGGAGACATTTTAGCAGCAGCGTTCTGGAGTCATAATTGGTCATTGCATTGCTACATTTTTAAGTCTTTCAAAGTTCTTTTCATTTACATTATTTTGGTCCTTGGATAAATAATTCCGCTGCCTCTGCTGACTGCACTAGGTATCAGTTCACGTTGTCTGACTCCCAGGTTCCTCTGAATTGTCCCTTTTCTTCATTTGTTATGGTTAAATAGTATTCCATTACATTCATATACAACAATTTGCTCATTTCCTGATTGATGGATACCCACTTTCTTTCCAGTTCTTTGCTTCAATGAAATGTGCTTCTATTACCATTTTTGTGCATAGGAATCCTTCCCTCTGACTTTGATCTCTTTGAATCAAGGGGTCAGAGGGTGTTCACAATTTAGTCATTTGATGGGGCATAACTCCAAATTGCTTTCCAGAATGGCTGGATCAATTTGAAGTCCCACCAAAGGAACATTGGTGTGACTGGCCTACCACAACCCCTCTGACAATGGTGATTTTCTTCTTTTGTTAACTTTTCCATCTGATAGATGACAGACAGGACACCAGAACTGGTTTATTTGGTATTTCCTTTATTATTCATGATTTGGAGTCCTTTTTTTTTTTCGTATAGTTACTGATGACTTGAATTTCTTCCCTTGAGAGTTACCTGTCCCTATCTTTGACCATTTATCTCCTGGAACATGGCTCTTTTTCTTATATACGTGTGTATGTTAAACATCAGACCTTTTTCAGAGAAATTTCCTGCAAAAATGTTCCCATTAGCTCTTTCCCTTCCAATTCTAAGTGCATTGATTTTGTTTGCACAAAAACTTTTCATTTTTATGCAATAAAAATTGTCCATTTCATCTCCTGTAATCATGTTATGTCAAGAACTGTCCCCCTATCCATGAATGAGAAAGGTATCTCTTTCCATTTTCCTCCTTTTAAAAAAGAGGTGGACTTTTATATCTAGGTCATATATTTATTTGGGGGCTTATTATGGATAGTATGAATTGTTGATCTAAGTCTAATTTTTCTCAGACTATTTTTCAACTTTCCCAGCAGTTTCTGTTGAATATTGAATCTCAACCCTAGTCATTTATATCCTTGAATACTATGCTAATATGTTCATTTCCTTCTGGACTTTGTTAACCTAATCTGTTCCATGGATCAAATTTTCTATTTTTAACCAGTAATAAATAATAATAATAATAGCATTAGCCTATATATAGCACTTTAAGGTTTGCAAAGCCTTTATGTGTCCTATCTCATTTGATACTCACAATAATGTTGTGAAGTAAGTGCTATTATTTTCCTCATTTTACCAATGAGGAAAACAAGAAAAGAAAAATTAAGGGACTTGCCTAGGATCACATAGCAGGATTCAAACTCAGGTCTTCCTGATTTAAAGGCCAGCACTCTATCCATGGTATCACCCAGTTGCTTTAGATTATTGTCATAATTCTTATTTTATGATACATTTTGAGATCTGTCTTCCTCCTTACATTTTTTTCATTATATCCATAAGTTTCTTGACCTTTTGTTACTCCAGATGAAGTTTATAATTTTTTCTAGTTCTAGAAAGTAACCCTTTGTTATCTTAGTTGGTATGGTACTGAATCTGTAAATTATTTTAGACTATATTTTTTAGCACAGCCCAACCATGCACAATTCACACCTTTCCAATTACTTGTCTTCTCTTATTTTTGTAAAGAGTAGCTTTTAGTTTTATTCAGATAATTCTTCTGTGTGTGTGTTGATAAAAGTCCCAGTGATTCTTAAAATTCTCTTCAACTGGTCTCTTTCTCCTCTCTTCGAACAATTCTTAAATGGGAGTTGGTTCCAACTCC